ATATGGATGGAGCTCAACTGCCATGTTAAACTGACTTACCCAATTATTTATTTCTCTGGCACCGCAAGCCATGTCATATGAAAACATTTTTGGCTGATTACGTGAAGATTAGACTTGTGTATGGAGTACAAATTTATCAAAACACCTTTGCATAGGCTCATGGGAAGAGAACTAAGCAATTTATGAGAAGATACAAAACTAAGTTAGAGATTTCAAATGTCTCACTAAGACGTCCAGTTGCATGCAGAATGTTCTGATAAAATTTATGTTATGTCTTTATTTGGCAGTAAAAGAACCTAGCAAATCAATAGGTATCACATGCAATCTTGTAGCTTTCTTTCTAACATTGTGCTAGAATTTCATGTGTATTGGGGTTAAGATATCACTGCTAAATAATGAGGTATCCTAGATGGAAAATTCCGTCTAGGATACCCAGAATTCCGTCTAGAATGCTTATTCTAGACGGAATTCCGTCTAGAATACGCGTTTAGTATGTTTCCGTTTAGGATGTAGTATTCTAGACGGAAATTCCGTCTAGAATACATCCTAGACGGAATATTCTAGACGGAAATCAAAACCGTCTAGAATACATCCTAGACGGATTATTCTAGACGGAATTTCCGTCTAAAATAATTCATCCTAGACGGAAAAAAATTCCGTCTAGAATGAGTATTCTAGACGGAAATTTCCGTCTAGAATACTCATTCCAGACGGAATTTGATGTTTTTTAATTTTTTTAATTTTTTTTGGTTAAAAAAGACATCCTAGACGGAATTTCCATCTAGGACACTATGCTACAGTAGTTTTTTTTTTTTTTTTAGAATCTACTTTGGGTGCATGTACACAATATTGAACAACAAAAAATTATATTCATATCCAACACAATCTAATTATATTCCAATATCAAATCCCATTATATTCAAATAATACATTCACCAAAATACTAGAAAATAGTAGAGAGATACATAATTAGTTTGTGGTACAATATCATCATAACCACTGGTTTTCACTTCTTTGGAAACCTCTTCTTTTTCAGGACTAATAACATGTACATGCCCATTAGAATTAACCTTTTCTTCTGAATTCTCCTTCCCGCGACCATCAAAGAATTTGCTTCTTGGGGCCCATAAATTCTTTTTAGCAAGAATTTCCCTAGCATTGAACTTTTTGTTCAAGCTATTCGTTCGTACTATTTTTCTAGTTGATTCCACAACTGAAACTGGATCAGGCTGCTGAAGGACTGAACTACTAATGGAAGCAACAGAAGCCCTTGGCTGAGATGATGATCGCTTGTTTATACTTCCATTACAAAATGTAGATCCATTCACTGGCTCAGAATTTGATGCTCCCTTCAAACCTTCTTCTAGTATCTTTAGCCTCAGCTTGAATTTATCCTATAAAGGGAGGGGTTTGGGGGGGTTAGGGAAGGGAAATATTTATTACGCATGTGGACAGTTTAAATGAGAAAAAAAAAATGTTCGTAGCATCTCCTACCCTGAGTTGAGTTTCAGTCTTGGCAGTTCGTTCTGATATAGTTAGCTTGTCTCTCAACCTTTGTATCTCTCCCTGCAGATAAAATACACGACTACTAAAGCTATTTGTATAACTAAAGCGTCATAGTTAAATAAAAATCAATTATATCTAGCTAATGATGTAGCCTCTATACGACATTTAAAGCATATAACTAGCGACAGAATTCACACATACGCAGGCACTACCTGCAAAAACCTGCGCTCTTCTATCCATTGCTTGACAGGCATGAGTTTCTCGCCTTCGTCTTTCCACTCATTTGCTACTGCTGCTGCCACGCGATTTGCTGAGACCTTAGTTCTAGAATTCATTAGTTTAGTGCTGCACTCAAAAGAGTTGCAAATAGTAATAAAATTAAATTGAAAGTTGGGCCAGAATTTAAGGTTCATGTAACTTACATTTAACTCAGCGACCTGCCTCTGGTAGTCGCGGACCGCGTTAGCAACTACACCACCAGCAAGAATGGATTCCTCAAGTTCCCTGATAGTCTGAGAAAGACTCTCAACCTCCAAAACCTTCTGCCTGTTTGCTTTCTCTAGTAGTCTGTTTTCTTCCTGAGACATGGTAGTCATGTATAAAATATATTCGAAAGGGAGAAAAAAATGCCAACAAATTGTGGCTATACCTGGCATATCTCTTTTTGCCTCTTCAGTTCAAGGTTCTGGTTTTGCAAATTTTCTACAATCATTGCCCGTTCATTAGCGGAATGCAATGTTCTTTCAACTTCTACTAATGCTACATCTTTGGATTTTATTAGTCTCTCTAATGCCTTTATGTCCTCTTGTAGAGATGCAATCTGCAGTTTACAGACCAAGACACAGTAAAAAAAAACAAACAAACAAACAATGCTTTTACTTTGTAATTGTTGTCCGGCAATCTTAGTTTCATACCTCAATTTTGTACTTTCTAATATCAGACTCATAGGGAGCTATGATAGCCTCAACTGGAACGAGACCATGTATGAAATCCAAGTGCAGGAATTCTCAAGGTGTTTGCAAAAAATTATAAGATTGGAAACATATCAGACCCCAAATACATCCAACTAACATCAAGAATTGAAATTTCAACAAAATTAAGCATCTCAAATACAAGTAAGAAAACATCATGAATTGGATTTGCAGCTTCATGATTCTTAAATTGATATAGACCAAACAAACACCTGAGTTTTCCGAACAACCATATAGACCTTAGTGGTCTGGAATATGTACCAAATACTTCAAATCCTCTATTCCAGCATATCCATGTGTATGCCAATTAAATGCAAGATGTTGGGGGGAGCTCAGTTGGAACGAATGTCGTATCAGGTCCTGTGACTTTGTGAGCTCATGAAGGCTCAATAGGAATTTTAAAAATGTGGCTAGGTTCTCTATAATCAACAAAATATATCGGAATTCGAAGATGGAAATGGCATGAGACGCACACAGCACACATAGACTTTGGCAATCAGAAGATCAGACCTATCTCACTAAAAATGGCTTCCACATAGTCAACAAATTAACAAAATACATAAAAATGAAAAGATGGAAATGGCATGACACTCACACGTACACATATGTATGCACTCACATCAAAACTAGCTTACATATAGTCAACACAATATACAAAAATTCAAAGACAGAAAACGAGTGCGTGCGCGCCCACCAGATAATGTGTAAACATGACAAACTACCCACCTTTCTTTGACAAAGGAATTGATATACTCTGCAGCGTCTTGAGAAACCTAATCAATCAAGAAGTGAGTTGCAATAAGGGCAGAATTAAGTTTTCCAGAATATAGCAGAAAAACATGCATTGACAAAGGAAGTAATGTCCTCGCACAAAACCAGCAGTTTTCGACACATAGACAAAACAATAACTATATAATACCGCAATGATATCAGTAGTAAAATTAGAAAGTAGAAAATATGTAAGGGATAAGGCGCTCCAATTCATATGTAAGGCATAAGGCTCCAATTCATAATTGAGCTTGTACCAAAATAGAAGTCATCTGACAGAACTGGTACCTACATGCAGACCATCAGTTCTCATATATGTTATCAACCCGGTTGCCTCCCCGTCTGAAAGTTTAATCCCCTCATACAGCTTCTGGGCAAGCTGTTGAATATATGTACTAGTTAGAGATAACTAAAAGCATAAAAACTGTCATCACTTAGAATACAAATATATGAGAAAGATGTTGACCTACTAAGATGTTGACCTACTAATTTGCCAAGGTAATATATGAGAAAGATGTTGACCTACTAATTTGCCAAGGTTAGGTTAACATGGAAAAAAAAGTTAAAAAGATTGCAGTAAAAAAAATGCAAGAACAAGCGCGTAAAAGCAAGTTGATTTGTCTCCACGACTGTTAGACAGCATGTAAACACCAAACAGGCTTTGATTTGCATGAACTCTTCTTAGAGTTGCTTCTGCCGCAAATTGTGCAGCCAATGCCTCTTTCTTCTCATTCATTAGTTTTTTGATCTCAAGATTCTGTGATGCATTATATATTTAATTTTATAAATAAATAATGAAAGCTACACAAAGTTGATAAAATTAAGAAAGTAAACTCCTGAGAATAATTGCCAAGCACCTTATAATTGTCAAGCACCTTGTCAAGCACCTGATAATCTGCATTATGTAGCATGAGGCAAATACATAACTAGAAAAGCTTAATGACATGTTATTAGCCTGTCTGGAATCTTCAGTATGTTGACTGAGTCAAGAAACAAAACAGGGGGGGGTGGTTATATTTCTAAAATCAAAATGCCAAATGCTAAGATTCTGAAACAGCAACAAGATGAGACAAACTCACCTTCCGATTCTTGGAGCGTCATCAACAAAACACAGCTTGCTCGAGATCGTCGTCTCCTCGATTGTAAACTGAGTAAACCCCGACATTGAGTCCATAAACCCGTCGAACTTCATCCTCGAGGCGGCCAGCCACTGGAGGGCCGAAGAGGAGGGGGAGGTGGCGAAGGTCAGCAAGAAGGAGGAGGGGTGGGCCAGGGATAGGGTTAGGGTTTCGGGGGAGAGGGAGAAGGGGATCGGGGAGAAGGTGGAATGGTCGAGGGCGGAGGAGAGGGTCAGGGAGCGAAGGTCGAGGGTGAGGTCGCCGGAGAAGGGGGAGGAGAGGGTGTAGAGGGCGGAGGAGTGGAGGGCTGAGGTCGGGAAGGAGAAGTAGAAGGGGGAGGATTTTGGGCTGAAACTTTGGGGGCGATTTTGATTTTAGGGGGAGGGGAATTGCGTTTTTTAATCTGAGCCTAAACATTCTAGACGGAAATTTCTGTTTAGGATGTATCCTAGACGGGATAACTGATTATATTAAAAAAAATTAAAAATACAAGAACCATCTAGAATATTATTTTAGACGGAAATTTTCGTCTAGAATGATTTATCCTAGACGGAATATTCTAGACGGAAATTTTTCGTCTAGTTTAATAAGGGGGAGGATTTTGGGATCAAATTTTGGGCTGAGGGGATTTCGTTTTTGGGGGGAATTGGGTTTTTTAATCTCAGCCTAAACATCCTAGACGGAAATTTCCGTCTAGGATGTATACTAGACGGAAATTTCCGTCTAGGATAGTTGGTTAATTTTTAAAAAAAATAAAAATAAAAAATCCGTTTACTTTTCTATTCTAGACGGAAATTTCCGTCTAGAATGTTTATTCTAGACGGAATATTCTAGACGGAAATTTTCCGTCTAGTTTAATAGCAAACTAGACGGAAAAATTTCCGTCTAGAATAGTCCGTCTAGGATATGTGATGTTCTACTAGTGATTTTGAGCTTGAAAGAAATAAAATATTATAAATTGTAGTATTCCAAATCTCAAAATATTAATAAAACAAACAACATTTTAGAAATCCCAACCCATAATAAAACACCTATGGATTTCAAATCCCATGGTGAAATCCATATCCTAAAATTATAGGATTTGACATAAGGGGCTGTTTGTTTCACACTTTTATAGAAAAGGATTAGTATTAGGGGTCTGACAGTGGCAAAATTGTAAATTATGGAATCTTTGTGAATCCTAATCTAGAGTTTGGCTGGGGAAAAATTTATGGATTACGTATTCCATAAAGTTGCTACAGTCGTGGTTTTTTCAAGAAACCGAAATCGGAGGGGGGGGGAGAGGATTTGGGCGAGAAATCTAACATTTGCCACTGTTTTCGTTTTCTGATTCCTAATCCTCTCGATTTCGAACCCTAGCTCTGGAATCGCAACTGGGCGTTTCTTCTCCCGCCTCTCCCAAGTTCCTTCGCGCCTCCTCTCTCGTTGTTCTTCGATATTATTTGGGTTTCAGTTTGTGGATTTGCCCTAGATTTTGGGCTCGGCTTCTCCCGCGATCCGCTGTTCTTCGATATTGTTTTTGGTTGGTTGGGTTTGTTGGTAACGACATCAATTTCTGGGCTTGCTGGCTGTTCTTCTCCCGCTGATCTTTGATATTGTTGTTGGGTTCTTCGGTTTGTGGATTTGCCCTAGATTTTGGGCTCGGCTTCTCCCGCTGTCCGCTGTTCTTCGATTTTGATCTTTGTTGGTGGGGTTTGTTGGTAACGACATCAATTTTTGAATTTTTTCCTTCGCAACAGCTTGGCATCTGTAGGTATAAATCAATTTAACCCTTTTAATTTGATTATTTAATTGTGCTTGCTCTGATTAAAGTAACATTGGTAGTGGAATTATTGAATTTGGTATATGTTTAATTATTGAAACAAGGGTATTGTTCGGTGGTTGTTTGATGTGGGTATATAGTTTATTACTGATTTTATTAGAATTATTTGTTAGTGGGGTTTCATTCGCAACTGCTTGGCATCTATTTGTCTGTGGGGTTTTGGTATATAGTTGATTAGTGAGCTTTGGTTCTCTGGGCTTGTTGTTGTTGTAG